CCCGCTTACATAAGGCCCGTGGGCATTGCCCACCCGCCCGTCCATGGGCGATGTCGCAGTCTAGCCACGAGACGGCCCGTACCCAGAACCGCGCTAGTCTTCATCAGGTTACGCTCCCCTGGTTAGCCGCATCGAGCGTTCTCATGTTCACACAGTCCTAATCTTATTGTCTCTATTTCCCTTTCCCTCCAGATAACGATATGCTTCAAGTCTAAAAACGAAATGGCTCCTACAAAATCTTCTGATAAAATATTTCCAATTACAACCTTCATCTCAGACCTGCCGGCCGACCTTATTCCGCAGTATCTTTCACCATCTTCCGAAAATGGCCCTGTCAGTGGACGCTTAGTCATTGTAGGCGATGTACACGGGATGAGAAAGTCCCTTGAAGCACTCCTAGACAAAGTCAGCTTTGACAAAAGCAAAGGAGATCATCTCATACTAGTGGGCGACTTAGTCAATAAAGGACCCGATAGTTCTGGTGTTGTTGATCTAGCTATTAAGCTAGGCGCTAGCGCTGTGAGAGGCAACCACGAAAATGCAGTTCTTAATGCAGCCGCGGAGATCAACGCCACAAGGGATACTTTATTGCATTCTGAAGACTTGACTGGCAATCCGGCCGTGCCTGAAAACCCCGCAGCCGACCTATCTGGGGATAATGCCCGAGATCTCGAGACTCCCGACAAATCAGCATCTACTATAACTACCGGCGCCACGACATCGCATAGTACGGCATCGGTACTTTCGACGCGCCAGCTCGACTGGCTTGCCGCTTTACCTTTGATCTTGCGCCTCAAGCTACCTTACGTCCCAAAATCCTCCTTGGGCGACACTCTAATTGTTGTACATGCGGGCCTTGTTCCGGGTATCTCACTTGAAAACCAGGATCCCCATGCTGTAATGCATGTACGGAGCGTCGTCCGCGCATCGGGCAATGAAGCTGGATTCGTGCCGGCCGAGATCTCCGGAGAAGAAAGCTGGGTTATGGAATGGGACCGGTGGCAGGATAGCCTAGCATCCAAGACTACAGTGATATTTGGACATGATGCAAGGCGTCGCTTGCAGCTAGGTAGATATGCGATTGGGCTAGATTCGGCTTGTCTATATGGCCATCAACTAAGTGCGGTTGTGATTGCAGCTTCCGACACGGGGATTGAGCATCAGGTTATTCAAGTCCAATGTGCTGATGCGTCCATAGTCCCAACAGTATCTGTAAATCAAGGGGACAAGACGATAGCGCTATAATCAATCGAATACATGATTTCAATTACCCCGACTCCCCGCTGAAACAAGATACACACTACAACAACTACATTCTATATAGGTACTCGTTGGCTTGAATGCTCTATAGGAAGGAAGATCAGTTACTCCGTTTGGAATGCTATGAGCAATCCGCATGCGGAGCACAGACTACAGTAAATCCCTGTTCTAACGAATCAATTGATACACAGTGAATAATTCGTTAAATGCAGATGTTCGTAACAGCCAGCTCCGATATTAATAGATATAATATTTAGTATTTATGTTTTAAATGCAATTTTATACCCTAAAAAGGTCCCTAATTTCTATAATTCCGCTTCTATATTATTGATTCCTTCACTTCTGCTAACATTTCATATCTATTAAACACACTAATCAACTCCTCTCGCAGAGCCACTTTTTGGGAGGCTACTGTAGGATGGATTGGCGAGGCATTTAATTGGTTCATATTGACACAAAACTGACGTCACAGAACCTCAATATAGTGAATTTTCTATGGGAGAAATAATAAAGTAACGAATTTTTTTTAATTACTAAGGTGAACCAAATGAAGCACCGGTTTTAGTTTTCTAAAACCAGGTGTTTGTTATATCCACGTTCATTACAGGGGGTTTACTGTACAGTATATGTACATGAATTCATAGTTACCTGAAAAACAACCTACGTCTACACATATTCGTGGATCTTTGCTGATAGGTAGCTGCCGAAAATTTGTTTATTCTGGGCTCAAAGCCAACGACTCGTATTAGATATATATAAACTTTTTACTCGAGGATCTTAGCGTCGCCTTGACAGGCAACGATCGAGTATAAACACTTGATGAATTAAATAATGCTCGCTATTCCCAAAACAAAACCCAAAATGCATAATTCTCAAGGCCAGAGAAGCAATTCCTTGCCTTGAGCCTTGAATCTTGAGACCATGAAGCCGGGGCTGCAATTTGCCTCCCAATCCTCCTCGGACACGAAATCCGCGTTGGAGAGACGGCGAGGCACCTGCTCGTCGCCTGATGATTCGGCCTCGCTGTCATTGCAAGGACATGTTGAGGTGGTTCTGGCTCCTGGCGTGGTGCAAGGGCAAGGGCCCAGGGAGCGATTGCATGGGACGCATTTGTAGTATGCGCGACTGCCGGCATCATTGGAGCTTGAGGTTGTGGATAGACGCACTCCAGGGAGTCCGCATTGTTCGCACTTCCAGCCGTGGGACGAGCGCTCGAGTTGGATAGTCATGATGAAAGAGGATTGACACTGGGTCATTGACTAAAGGCTTTGTATCAGTAACGGTCCGGATATACTTAGGTAGGAAGCCTATAGTACTCACATGTAATTGTATTGTAGTGGAAGCGGGAGTTAAGCGGAATAAGGTACCCGTAGACAATGACGTAGAAGTAGTATCTTGTAATTGAATTGTAGTGCCATCTCCCAAGTCCGGGGAAATATGCCTCCTTATAAAGAATTTGCGGGGGATGACCACGGGTAGATCGTTATAACGCCATTTGGAACAACTCCAACAACGGTACCAGTATGATGTCGAATTTCTCGGCAATTACTTGGCGATCCTTGTGAAATCACGTAAAATCATGTAAGATCGTGGCATTCTAGACTCATATTCGATCATAAAACGTAAGGAATGGCCGAATCGAGTTAGCATTTCCCCGACGCAAACCGAATTTTTATGTAATATCACGCAAATGGATCAAATGACCCCTGGAAACATTTACGTTTCCATTCCTTTCATAGGTCGATCTATTTAGAGAATTTGCAGAATTTGCACAATTTGCAAAATGAGGTCATTGCCACATCAAGGCGTGAGGTATTTATTATCCAATTGGCTACCCGGGCCGGGGCTCCCCCGCATTTTCGCCATTTTGAAATCTCAGGTGATCCCTCAGGTGACCGGGAACAAACCCAACAAACACCCACGCCTTCTCCAACCGTCACATGATTGGATGGCAACGGTATCCTCAACAATTTTCCCCTTACACCGTACTCCGTACCTCGTCTATACATAGAACGGTCAAAGCACCATGGGCAAACTTGGCCACATCATTGGGCTTCTGACTCAATGTACCCAATCCATTGTTGCCACTTGACTCATATCCAGCAATTGATGCTGAAAATTGCGATTGACTTGAGACTCTCTATGCCAATGTACAACTTCTTGCTCAACCCCTGATCAAAGGCAGTACCAACCCCAATTCACTAACCGGCCTCGCACCTGAACTTACAATTGTTGAACCATTCAATCTCATTATCGTCGTATTGACAAAAAGTCTTTTGCTTTATATCAACCCCTTGGTCCATCCCCCTACGATCGAGATACTCAGTTCAAGGAACTTTACGTCGCATCATATTGAGCTCATCATTCCATCGTATCACTTCTGAACAACAGGATCCGGTATTCTGTGGAGGAAATAATGAAGATACCGTCCGATTCAACCGGTGGTTCTCTTCTGCATTCCATCCGGCGGTAGAAACCTAGGGAGATTGAAGTACTCGTGAACTCAGCCCGAGGAAAATAGTGGAAACTGCTATTGCGAAGGTTGCAAAGGGGCCACGATAGCAAGACGGCTCATGCTAGCAATATCCCTGGAGTATTGGACAAGCAAAAAGGTTTGGGTTGGGGAAAACGCTGGTGTTCATGAGGTGGTGTTCATGAGGTGACAAGCTTGATGAGTTGTTTTAGAGTTAGGCTAATAAAGCGTGCCTGTATATCACCTCTACGCCTTCCAAGGTTCTTTCTTCAACACATGCAAACTAATCAAACAGATCACGGGTCACCTCTGCTTGATCTGATAAGCTGAGGACCTGCCTGGCGCTGATCGCTATCCTTTCTGGCTTAGTTCCTAGCTGTGCAGGTGCATAACTAGTTATACCAGATGACTAAGTGGTTAGAGTACCTAGCCCTCCCGTAAGATTATGACCCCTCGTTATTGGCCATGGCGTTCAAAAAGGTACATGCGAGGGCTCTTCATCGCTAAATCCATAGGACTAAAATAGCTAGAGTAAAGTATTATTGCATTAATTATCATCCTTGCGGCTCTTATTCTCCAAGCACTGGGTCCTGATGTTCTGTGTCGACAATCTGATTTCAAGATGTCTGTCACTCTAGTTCTCATCATCCCTCGCTCCTCCCATTCGGCGTCCTACTCGGCAACCAGAGTTTTAGTCTCCCAGGACAGGGAGTTTTTATACTTATATATCTACCTTGTATAGCTAGTGCAGCTTCTTCGGTCCAGGGCTAATCTAAAACCCAAGTGCAGATTCGTACAAAATGTCCTGGTTGCGATATATATAAATCACAGATACACCTCTATTAACAGAGATAAAATGATCAGATAGGCCACAATCATCATAGTATCCCTACCATATCAATTTTAAAGGTCCTGCCCGGTCGCATACTTAACAAGGTTTGGTTTGGTCATCAAACGAGGGGAGGGTGTCCTCCGAGTCCCGGAAATGAGGATATCCGGATACGCTCCGGTGGACATCCAGCGGAGCACATCCACCGGATATATGCTTGATATAGAATCCTGAACCTCGGGGTATGCTAGCATATGTCATTAGGGCGTATAGCAAAGACTGGAGACATTTTGCTGTCAAACTCAACTGGCATATTCAGCACATAAAAGAAATGCTGTCTATCCTGACTTCCATTTGCTCCGTCATCCTATCCTCAAAATAAAACAAAACCAATCATCCGATTTTTGTTCTCTGAGCAGCTCCCAGAGTACAACAACAATGGCCAAACCTTTGCCTACCAATCAACTTTTCTCTTTGCAGGGCAAAACTGTAATCTGCACAGGTGCTACGGGCGGGATTGGTCTAGAGATGTGTAAATCTCTCGGAGAGGCCGGTGCTGATATTGTTTCGATTCAACTGCCGAATGATCCAAATGCAGCATCTATCTCAAAACATTTGGTAGAAATTGGACGGAATTTCTGGGCATTTGAGTGCGACCTTGCAGATACCTCTGCCATTCGTGCTACATTTCAAGCTATCTGGAACGCGGGTATCAAACCGTCTGTTCTCCTCAATTGCGCCGGTGTTAACCGAAGACGTCCAGTAATAGAAACTACCGACGAGGATCTTGATCTGGTATGGATAGGAGGGTTTCTTACTTCAATCGAATTCAAGGCTGACATAAGGTTAGATCCTATCTATCAACCTCAAGGCTACTTATGTCGTAGCCCAGGAGTTTGGCAAAAGATTGATTCATTTGGGCATACCCGGCAAAATAATCAACATCGGATCAGTCACTTCATTCCGTGGAATGTACAACGTTTCTGCTTATGCAAGCTCTAAAGGAGGAGTGATGCAGATGACTAAAGCGTTTAGCAATGAGTTTGCTCCTCACGATATTCAAGTAAACTGCATTTGCCCAGGGAAAGTATCTCCAACATCTCCTCTCTTGTGCTCATCAGATGTAGTTTCTAATTGAAGCAGATACATTAGTACCCCCCCTGACGAAGCAGCTACAGAATGATACAGCGTACAACAATTATATCCTAAATGGGACACCCGCAGGTCGCTGGGGAACTCCTGAAGATTTGAGGGGAGCCGCTATTTTTCTGGCTAGTAGAGCAAGCGATTTTGTTACAGGCTCGAGTTTGATCGTAGATGGTGGTATGCTAGCTACTTGATCTTTGTTCCCACTATGGTCAACTAGGGAACTTTTTTGTCTTTGAAAACCCTTACATCTCTAAGCCTGTTTGAAAATTTCTTTGAATTGTTGCCCCACTACTCGGCATCGCCTTGAAGATATCCGGTCCGTTAGTCATGCTAGTTGTACTTTAGGTAGCCCTGAGGTGATACCTAGGGTTTCCCTGACCTCGGGAGAACGGATATGTTACTAATACAGACGCCACCACCCAACGGACTTGGACATGCTCCGGTGGACCCAAGAGCGCTCCCTTGATGAAACCAAGCAAACAATCCCCTAGAGCCGCTAGTGAGCATTGTGATACGCATTCAATCCAGAACTAGGGATATTTCTGCAAGATGCAGGAATCAGCGTCCCCAGGTGCCACGCAGACGAACTCCAAGCAACTGGGGACCCGCCGTCATGCGTGCGATAGATGCCGTAGACAGAAGTTGAAAGTAACAGAATTCTCAAACGTGACAGGCATTCACTTTCTAACAAGTTTGTATTCAGTGTGATATTACTAAGCCATGCTCACCGTGTGTGCGCTCTGGCTTTAATTGCTTGACAACACCAACACCATTACGGTAGGGGCCCTCCGGTTGCGAGACGATGCAGGAGCTGAGATTATAATTTGCTTATCTACCTCAGGAAGTCAAAAAAAGCACAGAAAATGAGGGCCGAAAGGTGCCGCAGTGCCACCCAACCGCGATCTCATCTACCTGCCCCATCAGCAACTCCTCCGCTTTCTGAGAGACCGGAGCCACCCGTCAATAGGCCCCAGACTTCTCACAGCCCGATCAGTTACCGAGATGGTGACCCTGAATCTCTTCCCTGGCCGCATAGATATGCGCAAGTATCAGCAGTTGAGCTGACAGATGAGGTAATCTACAACATCCTATGAGAGGCTTATTACGAACATGAAGTTGAGCCCATGAACAGCTTTTTCGAATGCACAACACGGCATCTATGGTATCACCGACAGAAACCAATAATACCTCCGCTCTCCCTGGGGGTGGATCTCGCCCAACTCAAGGTCCTGATGATCAAGTAAATGAGAGAGGCGCTCCTCTTATTTCCCACTTCAACGGATTGGTTCTTCCTTCCCGACAGATATGTGACTTCCTGCTGCAGTCATATTGGAAATCAGTGCATTGGTTTATGATGATTTTTGATCGATTGTCTTTGGAAAAGCAGTATGAGGATATCATGGACAAACAGATAGTCACACCTCGACAAAATGGTGTAGCAGTGCTACTTTTGATGGTACTTGCCCTAGGTGCAAGGTATACTTCGGAAGAACAGGGATCACAGATTGGCCTCACTGAGCGAGAGAGATCCCTATTGCAAAGTAACATGTTGACCCAGGTTCGAGCGCACTTCTTTGAGATTCTGGACGCAGGGGGTTAGAGTGTGTTCAATGTTGCATCTTGTTGAGCACATTTGACCTTTATAATGGTAAGCCTAATCTGGCGTTGCCCGTTCTCGGCGCAGGAATTGGCAGCGCGCAGGCGCAAGGCTTACACAAAGAGTCCCTCTGGGGTCCTGCACCGGAGGGTGTTGTTGAAGCCCGCAAGCGAACTTGGTGGGCGTTATATGTGCTCGACAGGTCTCTATTCCCTTCGCCCGGTGACTGGGTATTCTCCAATTGAAAAAAAATGCTTACGATCTAACAGATACGCATCAATAACTTATGGTCGACCGTCATCTATAGTTGACGCCCATTGCTCAGTTAGTATGCCACGAGATATGGAGGATACACAGGCCGTTCATCCGTTATTGAACTCATTGGAGTATTCGGTCGCAACAACTCACCCAACACGCGTGACATTGGGCACATATCAGCGCTGCAAATTTGAGCTGTACACCATTGCCTCTTCGATAATTGGCAGCATATATAACCTTGACTCCCCAAAATCAGGAGATGTGAGACACCAAGCTGCAGCTATCAACACCAAGCTGGTGGATTGGTTTGAAAGGCTCCCAGCGGAGCTAAAGCTAAAGAACAACTCTGATGTGCACACGAACAACCTGTCGAGTACTGAGCTTGAGGTGTACCGACTTTTTGAGTTACAGGCTTTAGTACTCCAGTTGGCGTATGATAATGTTCAAATCATCCTGCATCGTCCTTTCCTGCGATACAATGGTCAGTTAACCATGAGCCCCAACCCTCGCAGCCCCGAAAATCGACCGACTAGTTTTGATCAATGCAAACATTGTGCTCGCCGCACGTGCAGCATCTTGCCACAATATGCACCAGTTCTCCTTGCCGCCAAAAATACTCACGCAGTCGCATACATTGCAATGCAAAATTTCACTGCTGGGGTGACTCTTGGTATGGTAGCATTGTCAGATCCAGGTTCTGCACAATCGCAAGATGCAAAGAAAGGGGTTGCAAACTCTATCTCGCTACAAAAAAACCTCGCAGAGTCATCTATCGTTCCATCACAGACAGTAAAAGTTCTCGAAGGACTTTTCCATCTTATCTTTCAGCGAGAAATGCGCGCATTTCTAGACGGCCCACCGTTTGATATGACACCTGTGTATAGTCTTGAGCCCGAAAGGGACTTGGCAGTCAGCATCGCACAAGAGGGTCACGTCTCGGATGCAGCGGGCCGCCTGGATAATGAGAGATTTAACCCGACGCAGTTGTCTCAAAGTCAGGACAATACCGGTTATTCTCCGCAAAATCCGGCCACTGGAGGTAGACTCCAAGTTGCTTCTGAAATTGAGACAACGACAGATCCGGACTTTGGTGCCTACCCGGCTTCTCTATTGCCTCTATATGCTGGTGTCGATCAGGCACTTGGCTCAGTACAGCAGGGTATGTTATGTGTTCCATGAACTGCTTTTGCTCAACAAACTTCGGGAATTGCAAACACCAGAAGTTGACTTAACTAACTGTTTATGATCTCAGTTCTTTGGGAGTGTTCAGATCCTATGACACACGCAGGCAGCTATAGGCCGACGGGTGATGAAATCGGGGGAGACCGAAGACCCTCAGCTGAGAATTTACAGCATTCCAATGATGACGCGCCTTTCAACTCGCAGATCCCGTCACTCGACCATTTCCCCGAGAGGTTAAACGACCTGAACTTATCGCTTCCCGGCCAGAGCTGGGTGTGGAATTGGACCAATACGCCCTGACACGACTCCTGCACTCATGCCTCGTGCTCACCTTTTCTCAATAAGAATTACACTACGACAAAGGCCGGATTCACAAGACGGTTCGAAAAGTTCGATAACACCTTCATTTGTGACAATGTGACCCGAGATAAATAATGGGGATCATTCAACGAATAAACTGATCGGCGTAATCTGAACCAAGCCCAACATTTTCATAATGTGCCTTTGCGCTCGCCAATTTAGAGAAAACATCTTCCACGCCAACAGGATTGCCCTGGGGATCGACATATATATACGCGCCCGTCACGTGGAATAGTGTAACCATTTCCTCGACACCATCTGGCACCTCGAGAGTGTGAATGTCACCGGGGGGCTCAAAAGCGTGGCTTCCCTCTGTGGCCCACCAATCGTGTTCGAGGTAATGCCATTTACCCTTCAACACTGTGGCGTGGACGGGGCCAGAATGACGGTGGCGCGACAGAATGCCCGAGCGACGCACACGGAGCAGGTTCACAAAGTAACCGTGCGAGACATTGAAAAGAATAGGTCGGAACCAGACGTCTGGGGCCTGGGGCACCCAAAGCCTTTCCTCAAAGTTCAGATTTAGGATCCCTGGTACTACCAAGTCGTCTGGAACGTTGGGCAGAGGCTCGCCTTGGTAAGCAACAGCTTCGGCGGCAGGTCGTGGGTTGGCAGTAGTCCCGTTCTCAGTTGAGCCGTTGGTTGTAGCAGATCCCATATTGTAAGGTTGATTTTCTTCGCCAAGAGGAGCTTGAATCGTATAAACAGGATAATCTTCTGCAACTTGAATTTGACTGCGTAGAATTTTGCTGTCCATCTTGCGCTATTTAACGCTGTGCAATATGGCCATACCGGAGCACAAATGTGACCCGGAGGTGTGGGGAACTAACTAACTGGTCCGGTGGAATATCAGACACATCTTCGGGAGGTGACTGGAGTCCGGTGGAGCTCAGCTGGATTTTAACATTTGATATCAGCGCCTGCTTTGTAATGACCGAAATTTGCAACGAAAATGCACAATTGAAGGAAAGACTTGAGCTACAGGAGTTGAAAAGGTAGTTACCCGGACGAAAAGTACAATGCCTCATGCCGCATTTCCAACAAAAAGAACGGAGAAACAGGGCAGCAAATGACTTCCCTTCAAAGAAATCCTTGAACTTGACCTTCTGCAGCGATTTGCCGATATGATCTAAATCCACCGGAGTTGGATCTCACGCATCACTCGCCTCTGGAGGAGAGTCCTGAATGATTATTCATCTAGAAACTTCCAAGGTTAATGCGAAATATTAATCAGCTGTTGAGCTCCGCTAGAAAGACGTAGATGTCAAGTAACCCACCGAGAAGTCAACTTCTAATTCACCCGAGCCGGGGACTTTTACAGCTTTATTATAAATCCGCTGGCTATAAGAACGGTACAACAAGCTCCCATTCGGCTTCTTATTTACCAACAGTTTTTTCAACTATGGCAAACAAGCTCGGCATATTCCCGGCCTCTGGAGGCCTTGGAGGCAGTACCCTTGGACACCTTCTTGACCAAGTCCCACCCAAGGAAGTGGTTCTCATCGCTCGCAGCCCAGAGAAACTCAGCAAAGAGAAAGCTGTTGGAGTTACTATCCGCAAGGCCGATTACGACAATATCCAGACACTAGACCAAGTGTTTGATGGAATTTCGTCTCTGAACTTGATTTCCTATGCTAGTATTCAAAATGAGTATCGATTCAAGGTTGGCTTTATCACCTCTGCTGCTACCTCGTGCCACCTCGGAGCTAACCTAGTTCTATAGGTACACAAAGCCGCGATTGATGCGGCTCGAAAGAGTGGAGTGAAGCATATATTTTACTCCTCTCTTGCGTTTGCTGGTGATGGAGATCTCGATACCAAGGCCCAAGTTATGCTTGCTCACCTTGCGACGGAGAAATATTTGGCCCAGCTACACGACCAGGACCCACAGTTCACGTACACTGTCGTTCGCCAAGGGTTGTATTCTGAGTCTTTCCCACTCTATACCGCCTTCTTCGATCTCAAATCTCCTTCGAACGAAATATGTATCCCCCACGATGGCTCGGGTCCTGGCCTTGCTTGGGCTAAGCAAGATGAGTTGGGCGAAGCAACCGCAAAACTTATTGCACAACACGCTGAAGATCCCGCGGCTTTTCCCTATTTAAACAAAACCGTCCTTCTCTCGGGCCCTCGTGCTTTGTCTCTCAATGAAACAGCAGATGTATTCAGCCGCGTGCTCAAGAAGCCAATCAAGGTCCGCCAGGTACATGTGGACGAGTATGCCAAACAGCCACAGGTCCAAACTGGTCTCACATATGGTGGTGGCGACTGGGCACCTCTCTGGGCGACTGCTTTTGATGGGATCCGCGATGGTGAATGTGCGGCAGTTACCCCAAATCTAGCTCAGGTACTTGGCCGCGAACCTGAGCAGTTTGAAACGACTATCAAGAACATGCTTTCGACTTAAGCATGGGAGTGAATGTTACCTAAAATTGAAACCTATGATCTTAGAATGGAGAGAATTTTGTTGGAACCGATATTTGTCGGAGAGGAGACCAGGGACTACTGTATAGAACTACCAAATACCCGTGCCAATTTCCCAACCAACCATATTAGGTATTGGTGCGCCCTCTTCATTCTAGCAAGAATTAGTCTTGGCACTTCAGACAATATAGAAATAGGCAAATTAGGAGAGATTGATTAAGAGGAATCAGTTAGAAATCGATTAGGAATTGATAGTTCTTAAAGCCCAAATACCTTTAAAAACTAGACTATATCAAATACTATATAGTCTAATACGTAGTAAAAATATAGGGCATTGAAACCTAGAAAATCAACGGGCCGCTATAATAGTGTGCTCTAATTTAGTTGGCTAGAGAAAAACACAACTATCATCTATTCCATATAGTGGGTTGATTGTCAGCTCTGTCTACATATCAGGGTGCTTCTCGCGCTTACCCTTGGCCGTAACAATTTTGTTACTAGGGGCGATAACACGTTATGCTTGTAAAGTATTGTTTTACACTTCATTGCTAAAGTTTTCTAAGATTTACTGTGTGGATCGACCAAGCCTGGAACTGGATATTCTAGCTGTACATTGCTAATAGAGGGGTTATTCTTCGTTTCAATATTATCCAGAGAGAGGTTGAGTGTATCCCGCTGAATAGATTCCTAATCAAAATGGCACCCCGATAGAGAAAATGTCGGCTGCGGCCTAAAATTCAGTATATATAGCTACATATATCTGCAATCTATACTATCGCTCCCCTGAATACGATCTAAAATACCTGTCGCGATTCAATCACTCAGACAGGGGCACACTTTCCACTCTTGCAGACCAGCTGACCAGAGCAGTCATTGCCGTTCTTGCAAGAAGCACCTAGAAAATTACTTAGTAACCGTGAAGAAAAATATGAGTAGAAGGATTCTTACCTTCACAGTGTCCCTCCCACTCGCAAGACTCAGTAGGGCTGGAGCCACTGGCAGTTGTGGTAGTTGAAGGAGAAGAACCGCCGCCACTTCCACCAGACAGCTTGAGGTTCTTCGCAAGAGCAGTCATGAGCTTGTCACCCATAGAGCGCAGGGTAGTGAAGTTGGTGACATAGTTCTTGGTGAGAGCACTCTTGGGGAGCACGGCGTCGTCGCCAGTGAAAAGGATGTCTGGTTGGATTAATAGCTGTTCAAAATCAAGACATGGATGCTCTAGACTTACAGGTCACATCGGCATCGCCGTGGCCGCTGTTTCCGTTCAGGTCATCGTTGGGGAAGCAGGTACGGGCCATCAACCATGAGGCCTCGCCGATAACCTGGGGGCTATCGCCATCGGAGTCTCCGTAGATGCCGTAGAACATCTTGCCATCACTAATCTCTACGTTAGAACAGGGTGCTGGCTGGGATATCAACCAAAGGGAGGCAAAACATACCAGATGACAGCACCGACATTGTTTCCAGGAAGCTCCTTGGCGTACTTGGTTCCGAATCTGTCGGGAATCACAAAGAATGGCACTTCATACGCAGCCAGAGCACCGAAGTTGGTATCGGGCAGGCCATCGGGGTTTCCCTGCACCGTTGTGTCAGCAATAACTTCTCAGACGAACAATAATAATCACCATACCTTGCACTTGTAGTCAAGACCGTCGCAGTCGACATCCATGTCGGCGACCCAAACATAAGCCGCACCCTATTATCGATTAAATCAGCATGTGAATATTCCAATTAACCGAATGGTAAGAGTATCTACCTCGCTGAACTTGGTCCAGTCGCTGTGGATGGTAACTTTTTTGGCTCCCTTATCGCCGTTGATGGGGTAGGTTGCATCCGGTACAGCAGTGCTAGCCTTCGCAGCAGCACTCTGCAAAGCAGCAACGGGGATGGAGGAGCCAGCAGCGAAGTAGCTTCCTGGGGGGCCACCATCTGGCTTGTTGAACTCGGGGCCTTTCACGGTTTGGGCGAGGCCGGAGGTGCCAAACAAGGCAAGGAGCGCAAAGGGAATTGAGCGGCTGTAAGTCATCATGATTGTTGGTAGAAGCTTTGAGGGTTGTGAAAAAGATGATTCTTGCTTTTCGAGGCCGGGCAAGTCATCCTTTATCTGTTCTTCTGATCCCTGAAGAAAAATAATTAGCGAACTAGTAAATACTACCTCCGGAAACACCGGCGCTAGTTTTCACCAAATGCTTTTTTCGACATCCTAGTTTATATTACCTTGTGAGCATCGGTTATGCAGTGGATCCTTCAGGCGATCCTTTAGTTCTGCGAAAAGTGAGACATACTAACCTAGAAGATCCAAAATACTACGTTATTCAGCCACAATACCTATACGATTAGGCCACCAGAACGACCGAGCTGGTATCCCAAGAAGGAAAATATCCCTGAATGACCAGGATGACTGCGGGGGAAGAGTTTCAGCGCTGGTGGCCCTTGCATAGCGTCACATCGGCGATGCTCTGATGTAAACGACAATCATGCAAAGCTAACCCAAATTTTCTTAGCTGCAGATACCCTAGGTACTAGCTCCAGGGTTACCGACATTAATTATCAAGGGACTACTCCAGATTTAGAAAATGGTTAGACGAACTACCTAATCGGTAAATGCTTGGAATGGGAAAATGCTTGGACGTAAAATAGACCACCACAAACCTGCACATGTATCCAGTTCGCATATTTAAGAGGAATCCACAACTTGAGAGGCAACCAACCAATGATCAATATGCTACCAATCTCACTTTGGCAGCGGGTAAAGCTTGTACTAGGCTGGCGAGTTGCACGAGGATAATCAACATGAATAGTTGGCCCAGACTGCGCAGTACTCCGTATCCGTACAGACCATATACTGACTGAGACCAATTAACTATCTAGGACGAACCAGCAGGGCGTGGTAAGGCCTGGCCCATCCATAGGTCCCGATGAAGACGTCCAGATGATGGTGGAAGATGGGAGGTGTTATTGAGCGTTATTAAACCTGGAATCATATGATAGTTGAAAGACCCATTTATGCCTACCAACGTGAGAATAATCAGCTAACGAAATGTCCATGGATCTGGTCAATCTGGTAAATTGACCGGGTCCGTCCTCCCCGTGGCCCCCCAAAAGCAATGACTAAGCAACTCTTCCACGTGACCACCGGGAAACAATCAACTCCGACCTCGAAATTGTTTTGAAGCGACAACTCGACCAAGCAACCAGAGACGCCGCCAAAGATGGCCAAGAAAGGTACGTCGAACGAGAAATCCGAGTGTTGATTTGCATGATTCACCCGCCCTTTCATGCCGCAATTGGGGATGTGAAACGAGCGATGACACCGAGAACCGGGCACCCCCGGATTCTTTTGCGGCCGATGGCTAACATCGTTTTTCCCCGACACAGCGAAGTCCCGTACCATTGCCGTTCGGCTGATCTCTATGGCCATGACGGGCTACTACCGCACGATGATCCGGCCCCGTGCGCACCGTCCTCTCAGCATGATGAAGTACGACCCTGTCGTTAAGAAGCAGGTGCTGTTCCTTGAGGCGACCAAGGGTGGAAAGAACAAATAAGCTATTCGATTTTGGATCTGAGCTCTGCTCAGTTTTTGCAATTCGGGACATCCGCCCTTCAACCGCGATGACGACTTTGATTTCGATCTCTTTTCTTCCTCCAATCGAACTCCGCCTTTTGCGTTTCTTTGCAATCGATATCCCGATACGCCAAACGATACCTCGGAATTTGTGCGGATCTAGGGGAATGCGATAAAGGTGTCAGGGAACGACCCCTGTGTGTACATTATTTTACTGGAGCCAATCGGGAAATTGTGATTTCCCCGGTTTCCCGGATCTTCTACGGTGAACCTCCTTTTGTTGGAGCATTGTGTTTGGCGTTAAGAGCAATACAGCTTTGGGTACCTCAATAAAACTAAAATAAACTTCCCACAACATTCCACTTCATCGCCTTCGCATATGCCCTGCTTGGGGGCTCCTTTCGTCCATCTGCCCATGACAACAACACATTTTTCGAAATCAATATTTGAATATCCATGGGCTTGACGCGTACCTTGCTATTGATAACGTGAATATGGAGAATTTGCTCAACATTGTCATAGTATAATAATAAAGGAGAAATGGCATTTCCCTCGGGTTGAACTGCTCAGCTGGCATCTTAACTGAAGCGCTGATCGTAGCGGTCTCCTTCTAACCATTAGCTAGCGATCAGCCACCTTGAAAAATTATCAAGTGTCTTACCTCGAGTACGGCGCTTACTCCGGCCGCGGATAGTGCTGGCTTGGCCGGCTGCATTTCCCCTGCAGCTGCCTGAAGCCAAACCCTTCGGACTCAGTCGTCGCCCCGGGCCATCGCCTGCATTTCGTGGTCTCTTCGGTGGCCTTGGGTTTGCGTTTGAAGGGTGGTCAGTCTTGTCCATTGAGCCCTGTTTAGACTTTCCCGCCAAAGCTTTGTTTCCTGGCTGCATCTCTGTAGTCGTTTCAATTGAAGTTTCTGACTGTGCCACGGACTGGCGAAGACGGCTGTAAGTCCGTTGCTGCGTTCTCTTTACTTCCTTGCTTTCGGACTCTCTTCCAGAGCTGTTGTCCGTTGCGTCTGACATTCGTCTAACTTTGCCAACCTCTGTCTGGGTGATAACACGCGTCCCCTCGAAGCTGACTACTTTACGCTTGGTGTTAGACTGTTCCTGCTTGGTAGATTTATCAACAAGCGAACTATCAATCTTTTCAAGAGCCGACTGGGATCCTCCGCCTTTGTTGTCATCGGCGCTGAGAGGTTGTATCCCGACAGCAGTGTTAGATTCCATGACATCTCGACCCATTTTTTGAGGCTCAGCTGGAACCTTTGGGTATTCTTGTGCTTTCTTGGCATCATCTAGCACCAACACTCCCGGGAGATCTGGAGTTGACATAAAGAGCATTTCGAGCTCAGCTGGATCATTGAAAAGTGACAGACTATTTTCCCGTGAAAGTCTTTCATGCAGACTTGAAAATGGAACAATGTGGCCTGGGCCAGCAGGGAATTTGGGCAAAGAGTCGACACAATCACCATGTTTCAAAGCCTTCGGGGGGCTACAAATCTGTGCTGCTAGCGGTCCATCTGTCTTCTGCATGTTGCCAACAGTCTTGAGAGCCCCCTGTGTTGATTCATTTATCTCAAAGAGATTGTCATGTTCACCCTCTCTTGGCTCTAGTGCAAGATTGCTGCCTTCAATTGCGTCCATATTCTCCGTGTCGTGAAGCTTAGTGCAAGAGGTATGGCCTGTAATGGATGGCTGGGCAAGCGAGGGCTGAATGATATCTTCCAGTTTCTGCCATGTTTGCTCGAAAGGCTCATCAGGATGCACCTCGATCACCTTCGCAATCCCTTCTCTTATGGTCGCTTGCCAGCTTTCAGCCTCCTGGGCCCGACGGAGGAGTGAAATCATTTCAGCATCAGCTTCCTCCCCGACCTTCTCCAAAGCAGATGACCGTGATTTGAGTATGGCGAGGCTTTCTTTGATCGCTGCAAGTTCTTCATTCTTCTGAGCCGTCTCCACCTCAAGCATCTCAACCCTCTTTTCTGCTTCCTGTACTGCTTTCTCTTTCAGCATCACAGACTCGGTCTTCACCTCCAGGCTCTTTTCAAGCTCGGTCGTTTTTCCTTTTGCTTGTTCAAGCTGTTCGACTAGTCTCTCCCTTTCCGCTAAGAGACCCAATTCGGAGCTCTTCAATGATTTTGTTTCGACCTCATTGGCTCTGGCCTCTGTGATATATTTCGAGCAAGAAACATTGAGTTCGGTGATTCGTTTCTGTGATTCATCCAGCTGCGCTTATTAGCAGTGCAAATCAAGAAGATCACGCTCCGCATCACTTACCACAGAAGCCTTTGCTAGTCGCTCATTCTCGGCTGCCTTTTCGGCTTCGGTCTCCATGCTGTTAGTGAACCACTGTCTCATCAAGCATGATGGGACTTACCAAAGAGCTTTGGGTAGTTACAAGCTCCACCTGAAGGTTTTTGAAGTCTCTTTCTACCTTCGCCTTTTCTGTCTCAAGGCCTTGGACTTGTTGTTCGAATTTCGCTCTCATCTCACCGTGTAATTTGATGGCTGCGGCGCCCAACTCTTCTCGGATTCTTTGTTCGAGCAATTGAAGCTCAGCCTGCAAGGCCGTCTTCTCAATTTCCAGCCGGGAATTTTGACTCTTGGACGCTTGTTCATTAGTAACACTTTCGGTTAATGCATGCTGAAGATGTTGATTCTCGGATAATTTGCTGGCAAGCTGCTTTCGAAGAGACTCAACCTCAATCGAGATTTCTTGCAGTTGAAGCTGCAGTTGCGTATTTTCAGCAAACTTATTGGAAACCTCCATTTCCAAAACAGGATTTCCTGCTGGAATTCGAGCATCGGAAAGCTTCTGGCCGAACATTTCTAACCCACGCACGAGGTCTGTTTCTGTTATTCCCACGGCCTTGATAGAAGCATCGAGACTGCCGAGCATAGGCTCAACAGTCTGAAGCTGTTGCTGCAAATTTCCGTAGCAACTCTCACTGTTAGCAAGCTGTTTGAAAATTGATGAGTGTGGACCGAAGTTGCCTTTAATCGCTTGAAGAGCTTCTTGAAGGGCTTGGAACATATTTTTACTCATTTCCGTGCTCCGGTTGACGTCACTTGCGACCTGCCCAGCCAAGGAATTGAAACTAGAGTCGTAGTGAGTCTAGAATCTATGTTGTTCTTTGTTACACTTCCACAGCACTTACCGAGATGCTGCCTCATGAACGCTGTTGGTGAAGTCTTGGACATTCATAGTCTCCGCAGAGCACTGTTCTTTCAACCCCTGAACGGAAGCGAGACAATGTTCAAGCGCCGGACGCAGTTTTGAGAGGAGATTATCCTGGGATTTGAAACAAGATGTGGTGAACAGCTCGCAGGCAGAGTCAAGTTTTTCGGCCATCTTACGCTGATCGTTTCTGACAAGGGCCAAGTATCGCGACTGGCTCTGAGACTCATTTTGGATGTAGGCTTCTAGAGTCGCGATTCGCTTTTTCTCGTTGGATAGCTGAGTCTTTATCAAATCGCCTCTTTTCTCCGAATGGTCCAAGGCTTCCCTCAAGCTTACAACCGTTGCCTCGGAATTCGAAATTCTCTCGCGTTGGTCTTGAATGGTTTCCGCACTATTCGAAACATTCAACTTGATCTCGTCCAAACAGTGTTGGATCTCGCTTCTCTCTCTATCAAGAGACACGGTGGCTTCTTTCAATCCTTTGGCTTGCTCCCAAACTACTCCATATTCACGGCCTAGTTCGTTGAGAGCACCTTTGAATGTGCCAAGTTTCTCCTTCCATTTGTCTATTTGGGCGCGTTGAGATCTTGACTCGGATGATGTTTTGGAGAGCTGTGCTTGGCATTTCTTGAGCCGGTCCTGCAGATTAAGATTCTCTTCCTTCAAGCCCATGTTCTCGCTCGTGACTTGCCGTTGGATAGCTGCAGCCGCTTGCTCGCTTTCCTCTCGCTGCCTCATTCTCGTGATGAGAAGCTCGAATAGATCATCCTCACTGAGCTGAACGCCATTCTTGCCACCAACGAGCGGTGCCTGTTGCTTAGAAGATGCTTCCTTCTCAGGAGGATGGCGTCGCTTTGAAGCCTGAAGCTGATTGTTGATAGGCTTAAGAGGTACACGAGAGCATGGGTACTCTGAAATCTCATGCCTCTCTTTGCGAGGCTGTTGTACCTGGGGCGGGTTGGGTAAGGCTGAATCAGCTTCGCCTCTCCTCTCAATATCAGAGACATGCTCTTGACTCGTGTCAACGGTCCTTTCTGCAGGGCCAATAGTCTCTCTGCGGGTATCAGCTCCAGTGGGCTCGTTCGGCCGAGGAACAATCACCGCCTTTTCTTGCCCGAAACCCGGTTCCACTAGATCTCCAGGTGTAGGCCGACTACCGCTGTCTTTGTTGGGTTCAGCTGCTGTCGATAGCCGGCTTGGAGGCCGCGAAACCAAAGATTGTCTCACGGGGATTGGTGGTTTGGGGATTCCTTCCTTCCCAAAGTCGCGAGAATTGAGTGGGCTGGACTCAAGATAACACGTTAGTCCGTTGTGAACGGCAGTGTTCATCTGCAGGGTCAGCCTGGGTCATCTACATACGTGTCTGACCTGGTCAGTTGATAATTGCGACCTGCATCCTCTCCCATTGGTTCTCTTGAAGATTGGGCATTATCGATTGCAGGAAGGGGGATGGTAGGTTGCTTGGTCAGGTTTCGAGAGTACGAGGGCTTGTGTGAGGCGGGCTTGCTGAAGGAGAAGTCTATAACATCAATGCCAGAACTCTCTGGGCGCTGCAGCAGCGGCCGGGGGTTTTCAGAGCTCTCCATATTGAATGACTAGGAGTGATGGAGGAGGTGAAAAGGATAAAGAAATGGCCAGATCTAACGAGAAACACCATCGACATTGAGGAAGCCAGAGGGAAGGAGCTACCCCGTGACTGAGCCACCATCTCTACACCTACATCCTCATGAAATGGCAAGGAGCACTATTTTAGCTAGTTGCTTGGTATAGTTGAAGGATGAAGAGAAGGATCGACTCCATTTTACTAAATAGGAGTGAATTTTCCGGT